CTAGCAGTGCTAAAATCCTTGTTAGCACGAACAAATTAATGAACAAATATTTCTGTCTCACACCTTAAAACACATATCTCATATTTTCAAAATTTTTCAAAATCAGAAGAGAACTCCAGACTACTTGGGTGTGACTTATCAGAATCAGAAGAGGTGTTGAAAATGGATTGAAAAAGGGGAGGAAAAATAAGTAAAAATATGGAATATCTGACTCTTTCTAGAATATATTAAAAGTAGGATGTGTTACTACCATATCTCCATTTGTGAAATGATTCTTCCAGGCAAATAGCCGAAATACTTTTAACATCTCTAATTTCATGCCCATTTCTTCCTTTAAATCCTTAAGGTACACAATACATATATATTTTTATTTCCTTTATCTATAACCTTTTTTCTCCCCTTCAAAAAGTACATTCTTGTAAGCATGGGGAAAAAAATAAATTTCTCACCTACTAAAAATTATACTCATTGCTAAATCCCTCTCCTCCACAAAACTTTGGAGCCCAGTATCCAGATATAATGCTTTTAGAAATGTTCCATTTAAAATGCAGTGCATTACAAATTGCAGAACTAGTTAGGTCTGCAATCATTCTTGAATGACTTATGTAACTCAAATATTTCACTTTAAGATACTCAAATTATATGAAAAAATATTTTAGCTCTTCTGTTTAAAAGGAACAAGCAGAAGGCTGAGAAAAAGGGATGAAGAGCCAATAGAGTTGTTATGACTTATAATTTATGACCCTTTTTAATATATATGCACATATACACAATGTGTATATGAAGATACACAAACTCTTCTCTGTAATTTGTATTTTGCTGTAAAGAATCTTCTTGCAGGATTCATAAAAACACCTGATTTCAAATTCTAACTCCAGTACAATGTATCAACTGCGTGATCTTAAGACCTTGTGATACATGAAGAACCTCTAAGCCACAGTCTGATAGATTAGATGAAAATCAGTGTGAATATGTGTTGTAACAGTGTTTCAAGGACTGAAACAGAATAGATAAAAATAAAATAAAAAATGTATTATCTGTCATCACAAAATTTTGAATATTATAGCTATGCATATTATGGCTATGCAATCTATGACTGAAAAAATAAATCTGACTGAAAATTTTTCAACATCATCTTCACCATAGCTTTTGAATATAAACAAGTTTGTATGCAATACTGTTTTCCAGAAGTTAGATTTCATTAAGATTTTTTTAACATTATTATGAATTGTGATCAGTTATTCAAAATTGTCAGAAAGGCATTCTGTATCACAGAGTGGTACTTCTGTCTTGTTTATTTGTTAAAAACAGGTCTCTGGCATTTTACAAATTTGGATTGTTGGTGCAGCTGGTCATTAAAGGACATGCTGAAGACACATGAGTGACAACCACATTGAACTTAACATGAAATAATTAGCATCAATTTGACTTTCAAATATGCTGTAATGTCTAGAGAGTGTTCTGATAGGTTTACAATATCCTTGCTCTTCGGAAAAAGAAACTAGAACTAACACACACTGAGCTGACCTGCCCACTTATAATTAGGGTGAGCAACTAAATCAGTATTTGTTTTCACACACTGGATCTGACACTTGTATATTGTATATATTCTTCTACAGTGTCATTTCTGAGCATTCAGTATTGTATTTGCTCTCTTTCAATCTACCTAGGAACAAATGAAAACAGTAATACACATATCAGACTAAGGAAGGACAAACACAATATTACCTCTCCAAAAACCAGACCAAAGTAAGTACAACATCACATAGCTACATGCTATGAAGAAATAATAAGAAGATTTGAAAAATACAAAATCTAATTATTATACACATGGTAAGAAGTCATAAAGCTGACGTTATGACTGAGAAATAGTTAGAAAATAGAATAATGTCAGGAAGTCCATTGCCTGTACTCTGAAGAACTTATAAAGGTAATATAGGTAACAGGTATAACAAACTTATCTATATAAAACATTTATGTTGCAATTGTTACATATATAAAACTATATTTACATTCATATATATTATGTATAAATATAGCATAAAAAGGCTATATAGGAAGTAGCAGTGCTGTTGAAGATGCATGATAGCTGACAATTTTTAGTTTGATGATAAAATGTTTAAGAACCAGTTAAGGCAAAAGACTCTGAACTCTTCAAATTCAGGATAGTTTGAACTCTGGTATACCTATGCACAGGGATTACTGGTCTACAGGACTGAGCTTGCTACTTATTGTTTTATTTAAACAAAAGAAACCTGTATGACAAATCAAGTGTTGAGTCAAACATGTGGCTAAAGGAGGGTGGAGGGAGACCGCTTGCTGAAAGAAGTGGAATAACAAGAATGCTGTGGAGCAACGATGGCTTCCAAAAACCTGGTGACCCTTCACTTTTGAGTGCCAGATGTCTGACTGCTTCTGCAACCTGGTTGCCTCCTGATGGCCATTCCCTACAAATGGTCAAAGTCAGCAGGCTAGTCATAAAAACATTGGTCTACTGGTGCACTGGAGTTGACAGGTATGGACTGTATGATGTCAAAACCAGTGTGTCAAAGCAAATATTGATTTTGTTGCTCACACTAATACATGCAACAGATCAGTTCAGTGAATATTAATGTAATTACTCCTATACCCAGGAGCAAGTTTTATGGTCATACACTTTGTATGTGAATTCACTATAGGGCACAGTTAAGATTGCTCAAATGTCCTAATTTCTTCTCAATACCTTAATGTACTTGGATATTCTTCAATTTAACATTGACTTCAAAATGGGTTATAGTTCTTACTATAATTGCAGCATTCCTGTAATGCAAGTTTATTGTAAATTACGAATATATGCTCTTAACCTCGACTTCAATTTAACATCACTTTTGCCTGGAAACTACATTGAGAACTGGGGCCAAGTGCCCAGCTGAGGTAGAGCCACTTACCTCCAGCTGAGTCAACAAAGCTGTGCTGACTTAGATGATACATTATTTTGCTTGCTCTAAACACTGACTAAGCTATACAATAACACTCTGCACATTATCAATATTAATAAAGTTTAAAGAGTTACTAGTTTTCTAGCACTGATTTCCAATCTTCAACTCACCTGTCTTGGGGCTACCATTTTATTGTCATTGCACTGAAATCAATGAAATATTAAGAAATATCCAAAACATCATCAATCACTACAGACACATTACACACTTGTAAATCACGAAAGAATCTGCCAACATATATTCAATATACTCAAGAGTCATTTAAAATCACCAAATGCTTGGTTACTAAGCAAATAATTTCTCAACAATTTTCAAAGCGGGGGTGGGGGGTGTGTGTGTGTTTGTAGTAAACAAAGTACTTCACTGTTAAATTAGTTAGAATCTAGAAGAAAAGGCATCTTTATATCTATCACCATTCCCAAGGGGAAATAAAGATGTAGTTTATTTATAAATATCTATGAGAATGTTGGTTGCTGAGAAGAGTTACTCATAGAATCATAGAAGCATAGAATGGTTTGGGTTGGAAGGGATCTTCAAAGATCATCAAGTTCCAACCCCCCTGCCATGGGCAGGGACACCCTCCACTAGACCAGGTTGCTCAAAGCCTCATCCAGCCTGGCCTTGAACACCTCCAGGGATGGGGCATCCACAGCTTCTCTGGGCAACCTGTTCCAGTGTCTCACCACCCTCACAGTGAAAAAAAATTCTTCCTAATATTTAATCTTTGTCTTTCAGCTTAAAACCCTTACCCCTCATCCTATCACTACACTCCCTGATAAAGAGTCCCTCCCCATCTCTCCTGTAGGCCCCCTTTAGGTGCTGGAAGGCTGCTATAAGGTCTCCCCGCAGCCTTCTCTTCTCCAGACTGAACAACCCCAACTCTCTCAGCCTGTCTCCATCACTTTTAGAAATTTGATATAAAACCCATTTCATTTTGGTATGATGAGTAGAGATGGACACATCAAATATTTATAATAATAGAAATTATAGAAAAAAATGCAGCATGAGATCAAGATTTTAGACAATTTTTCTTGCTAACAGTCTTGACTACTACTGCATGCAGGCATGAAGTCTAGAATATTTAGCCCGATTCTTTGTTAGAAGTTCTCATTTAGCAATGATATGTGAATGTATTCACAGTACCTTGTACATACTTTCAGAATAGTAATTAAGGGACTTCTTATGTCTTAGAACATGTTTTTACTTTTAACTAACTACTTTTACAAATGGTACAATGTGTTTCATAAGTGACCAAGAAAAATATTTTTCAAGACGTTAAATGGATGAAATATCTTTGCCCTAAATATATTGATTTATATTTCAGAATACACCAATATATACTTTTATGATTTGACCCCATTAAAAGCCCTGTGGTAACAATAACACCAAAGTAGATAACTTTGCAAAAATGAAGAATGATTTAGGATGATTTTGTACACCAAAGTTTAGGTGACCCAGTGTGTTGGCTATTAAAAAATCATTGCTTACAAAAAAATTTATTTCCTAACTTGAATAAATTAAATATTTTCAAAATTAATCTGGCATAAAAGTGGAAGTATCTAAAATGACAGTATCTTAAAAAATTGGTCTTATAAATGCCATTTAATAGATGTATCAAATCAATGGTGAAGAACAGTTTCCCACTCCAGAAAAGTCATGGGTTATGACTTGCATTGTGCTTTGACATAATTAAGTCATACCTCAAAAGACTTTTCATATTTCAAGTTACATTAAATTCTCAAGAATGAAAGTCCTAAAAAAGTTAGAAGTTTTTTTGATTTTTTTTCTGAAGCATGTAAACATAAATAGTTTATAATTTTTATAGAGAAAATAATTACATACCCAATAGAAAAAAACTATAATTTTCACTACACATATTAACTTCAGTCATCTTTTAAAGAAAAAAAATGATGGTAACATATAATGACATATTCCTCGTGCCCATCAGTTCACATTTTTTTCTACTTTTTCGGAAGCATCGTCATTGTGAAATGTGAACTTATAACTCAGTTAGAAACCTACCTTCTTATAAACTGCACGGCTTCCTTTGTCAGTCTCTGAGTAAGGTTCTCATAGGACAGTGGTTGCTGGATGATCTGATGATCCCTCATTAAGAAGCAGTTCAAGTGTCGAAAATGATAAAAGAAAAAAATCAAAACCGCAAGTAAAATAGCGGTTATTAACAAGCAGTAACCCAGTGCTTGGAAAGGTACTTTGAGGAGGCCAATGTACTGCATTATTGCCAAAGAGACCAGGGTGATTCCAGCGATTTGGATTGGGATGACAAGGGATTTCTGAATGGCTTTTAAAAATACGCTGCCTTGGCCAGGTTTACAGTCTCTCAAATTGGTCACGGTAAGCCCATAAAAGTAATCAAATCCATGACTGAGGGGGTGGTGACAGAAGTCATTACTGCTTTCACAGTTCATCCCAAGATGCCACTTTCCTATCAAGAGAGAAGGACAGGGAGTATTTTTGTAGTTAAATCATCAAACTTATAATGTGCACTATTCCAGACATGAAACTGTCACTATCTGACTGACCACCCCCAGAATGTATTGTGGATCCTTATTTTCCATCTAATCTTTCTTTATGCCTTCATCAAAGACTATGTTCCATGTCGGCCTCTTCATTTTAGTTAGAAATAGTTTGGCACAGCTCCTGATGGAGACCATTAAATTCTGAGTGGGCTTGCAGGTCACTGAAGAGCAACAGAGCCCTAACAGATAGTTAACTTTGAAAATGAAGCCTTTGTGCATGTGTAGCTAAGTAGTCATAAGAAAATAATGTTTTGTAGCAGCTACTGCTTTTTAAGGAAGAACAAATATGGAGTTATGAAATATCTCTTCTGAAGTCTTTCTGGCAAATCATTTGACTAGTATAAAAATAAAAAAGAAGAAAATTGTAATAAACAGGAAATAAATCAAGAATAGTGAAATTACCAAGGCATTTATTATTTAAATGACTACAAAATCTCTAAAATTGCCAATCTCTCTCACTATATACATAATGTATATATATACACACTATATACACATATATACTATACACATATACAGAGAGAGGGAGATTAATTTTTATTTATATATATTTTATAGAGAGAGAAATAAAAAAATGAAACAAGAGTAAGAAGTAAACTACTGCCAAATACTATCTCTCACAGCATTTTGTCTCACTAGGAAATAATTCTAATTCTTCAGTAAAGTTGGACACTGACTGACACAAGAAAATACTGAGTCTGATTTGCATTGTAGTAGGATAATCTGTGTTCATGCTGATTCCAGTAAGTATCTAGGTAATTCATTCTGTGACTCAGGTACAACCCCTTACCATATTCTTATACATTGCTTAGTGCAACAGACCTAACTATTTGGTAGCTATTGTTTACATTCAAAGGCATAATTAAAAAAATACAAATTCAGTTACGCCTATTGACATAAATTATGGCTAGAGCTATGCTCTTTGGTCTTAGCAATAATGTCTGTCAAATATTTGACAAAATGTATCACCCTTGACAAAACAGATGATAACGTATATTGCTGGGCCAAATATTTTTTTTTCCTGAATCAAATACTTAAATACGACCAGCATAATTTGGGTGTTGTGATCTTAAAAGAAATAAACAAAAAAACACACAAACCCAGTAAGACCTCAACCCCACAACCTAGCCCAAATAAATTTGAAATATTTTTTTCTAGAGACTTCAGGATACACATTAGAAAGTACATGACAGGAATAACGCATATATAGAATTTTCCCCTTTCCCAAACCATCCCAGCTTTTACATATCTGTAAGAAAAGAGTTCTGATGCAGATACTCCTGAGCATCTCCTGGGTCTAGAGAGCAGCATATTCATCCCTCACTGCTGCCTTTAGCAATGACAACGTGGGTACTGCAGTACCAAATTGGGTAAAGATGGGGGTCGGCTCTGATTTTTTGAAACAGTACCTAGCAAATGGGCTCCATGCCATTATTTCTCTTTCACAAACAACAGAACTAAGGTATAGGATGGGAATGTCATGTGCCTAAGTTCACTCGTCAGCAAAGGTAGAAAAAAACCCCACAGAAATCTTGAGTCTAATTGAATGCTTATTTGAGTCTAGTTTTCCTTGTACATCTTTTCATGGTCTTAGGTTAGAAATACCTTCTGTATATCACAGAAGGAGGTATAAAAGCATTTTCACGTCTGCTTATGTGTCAGTGAAATTCAGAGGCCTGTACAGTTCTCTCATCCCATTGGAAGTTTTCCCACTTACTGTCAGATGGCCCCTCACCTGAGGCAGCATTCTGCTTTCTGCAAGCATGTGGTGGGTTAGCCCTTGGCTC